TAACTGGGACACTAGCATGTTGGAAGTAGAATGGTGCCTCGCATACTTAGCTTTTTGGCGCGCTATATGCTGCTATGTATATGCTTGCTCGGAAAAAGGAGCATTGGAATGGTCTTAACTCCTTAATATTTAGACGAAAGAAAAAAGAAGGAAAACATACCATTTCCCATCAAAAGGGAGTCATTATGGAGTTCTTGTTGCAGTATCTTATGTCTTAAAAAATGATTAGTACACACTTTGCTTTCTGAATCCATGCCTTCTTTAGTCTTAGTTACCGGGAATCCCCTCTGCTTTAAGTGGAACTCGTAATACTTTTCTGTCATTCAGAAGAGGCCTGTACCTTCAGTTCAAATACTTATTAGAATAGCATGCTTTGGCGAGATCTCTCTTACTTCTCTCTCTGCCCTTCAGAGATTGCCGAACTTTTCCTTCAGTTCAAATTACGTACACCATCCTATGAAACATTCTTCTCTGCTTTTGCCTTTCTTATTTCCTCCTCTCTCCCTTCCTGCCTTCCAGACAACGTAAACATGATGTTAAAATCAATTATTTACACGTACAGTTCCATGGTAGAAGGCATTTAACAATTTGATAGGTACCATAGCGGAGCAGAAACTCTGCAACAATTCTAAGCTTTTTGCAAACTAGAATTCCTGATGTCTTCGATATCCAAGCTTTTAGGTCTGAGAAATTGTAGCATTTCTATTATTTACATTTAAGGAGGTATAATGTTCAAACTTGTGATTGATGTCAAGGGATGGGATAAATTCTTTAGGCGCGATCTTAAAGCAACAGAGGAATCGAACTACTATTTCAGTCTTCTTCGATTTCATCACTAGGCATACATGAATGAGGAGAGCATCCTTAGAGAAACGAGAGAGAAAAAGCAGAGAATTCGAGGTTTCTTCAGTTTTGTGATCAACAGTTTGGTTAACTTGTATATAAAATAGAACTTTGTTACTAAAGCGTATGTGGAGTGAAACTTCTTTACTTATTTTCTCTAAGACACTTTAATTTTTCTTAAAAATTGATGGAGCAAATTGAGTTGCGAGTGTTTGGGAGAGCTACGGAAAGACATAGTATTATCACTATTTCTGTAACTGCTTGAGGTTAATATTCTGTTTTGGTTTCGTTCCATTTTACTAAAATTTGATTTTTCAAGAGATGAGTGGTGGAAAATTGGATCCTACGAAATATGTGGTTAAAATTAATGTTTGACTTTGAAAAGTAACTCTAGCAAAATGGAATGTAACCGAAACAGAGGCTAATTGTGAGCTTTAAACATCTGGATTAGTAGTTCAACTGTGAGCTTTAATCATCATCTTTTATTTTTCAATTTTTTTGGGCGTAGGTGGGTGGGGAGTTGGGGGTGTTGTATCATGAATATCTTGATTTAGCATCGTGTTACGTGAAATGGACCTCAAGTTCTATAGAAATAATAATGTAGTTTTGCTGATTAGAATGAATTATTTGCAGGCTCGTTTTTTGCTTGCAAAATTGAATCCTTCAGCTACGTATAACTCTGATGTTCCATCTGTTCCTGGAGGCGATATCCTCTTTACAGATGATGTCAGCTTTGAGGTCTTCTTGGATCATCTTCAGCGGTTGGCAGTTCAATAGAATCTCTCTTACAAAATTGTCGGAGGTTAGCTTTTAGATAATAGTACAACCAATTTTGTTTAACTTATTTCTCTGAATTGTATGTACAGTTACGTGTACAACTGGTTTTATAATCTCCTTTGAGCTCACTTATTTGCAAGAAATCTTTGATTGGGATCCTAATAATGTAGACTTTCCATGATTTTATAGGTATTCATTTATGACTTTGATTCCTCAAGTTCCATCTGGCTCTTTTTTCGTTTTTTTTTTTTTTGAGCATAAATTCTTAGTTCTATTTAATTACTTTTGGCGGGGCGTGGATTCGTCAAATCTTACTCTTTTATGTATAACTTGAGCTTGAAGAACCTGATTTTATAGTTTGCCTAGTGCATTGGTGAAAGAGTGTAATTTCGAATTCTAGGAAAACTGATGCATCCAAGCCTGGCCTGCACAATTTTTAGTCTGGCCAATGTAGTTACCAGAAGAATAAAGTGAAAAGTAGTCCAATAAGTAGTTTCATATTCAATGTTAAACCATGGTTAAATTAAGCCCCCGTTTGAGCCCCATTATTTGATGTTATAATTTTTGGAATAGTGTTATTTTTGGAGAATGTGTAGTTGGAAAAAGGACAAAATTTTGGAGAATGTGTGGTTAAAAAGAAGAGAGAAAATAATGTATTATAAATTTAATGGGGCTTAAATGGAGGCTTGCTTGAAAATAACTAAATGCACAGCTGGTTTATACAGGTTTTGACTAAATTTTGCTGCGAACTGTTGATCCACAAATAAGATAATCTTGTTGGCAATAGCACTTGCATACCCGACATGACCTTCACAAATCTGGAATTCACATTTGATCACGGCAAGAGCAGACCAATTTCGTTACCATGCCAACTTGAATACCGCTATTAGATTGATGGAAATAGTTCGAGAGAGTTGGATGTGGAAATTGCGATCAACAAATTGAAGAGGGAAAACCGAAACACTGACTGAAGATCTCGAACCAGGTGTAGAAAATCAGAAGATGGATGCTTGAAAACGTGAAAACACGATGTCTTGAAAGCGATATTTGCCTGCTCTAAATCTTGGGATTTCATTAGAGATTCACCAGCAAATATCTTGAGATTTCTTAATAGACTAACCAGCGAATAGCCAGAGAATTAGTCAAGCGTTTGGCGGGTTTATGATGAGCAATACCGTAAACTCACAAGAGGAACAACAAAAAATTATAATTTCGAAATTTAAGGTTTTTCAAATTTTGGAAAGATGTTTATAATAAAGATACAATTCCTTAGCCCCTTTCGTCTGCTCTACCAAGTTTTCTATCTACATTTTTTTTTGTGACTCAGGTGTTCGAGTTTCACCGGACTAATCCTAAGAATTGGCGATCTTTTACCTGATTTGTCATTCGGATAAATCCAAATGCTATCACAGCTTATACATATTTGGGCCGAACATTCGGGATGCGATTTTCCGCCCTATGAACCTCCCTTTACGACGTGCAAATAGGACCTTCGAAGGGACAATAAAGTGCACCACAAACTTGTCGGCACAGGACATTTGCCTTTCAATATAAATGTTGAGCGGATGAAATCATGTATCAAGACATGTGCTTTGCTGCCTAGAAGTCAATCAAATCTATCGTATATTAACCTATAATCCTCTTTATTGTTTAAACAATGCTAATAAATGTGTTTTATATGCTTATCCCTACTTATAAACTTGATATATGTCTGCAACAGTAAATGAATTTTTACTTAATTTAGTGTAAATATTATTGTTACAGGTAAAACCTAAAGTTGGAGGAAGGTTTTAAGCTTACTTGGAGTTGGTTCGAAGTAATTGAAAATTAAACGGATTGCCCATAATTGATAAAAAGCACTAATCTAGCAATTGGAGGAAAGTCACAAAGTTCTGGGAGTAAAGTTTAACTTATGAAAAGTTTGGAGACTAGTGTACACACTTACGAAACTTGAAGAGAACCAATTTTTGATGATATGGAGGTTCAAGAGCCAACATGAACACTTTGCAGGGGTGACTACGGTTTGAAAAATGCGATCCATCCGCGAGCACATGGACTTTTTGCTGAGTTCAAGTTGCGGTTGAAAAAAAAATGATTTTCCCCAGTTCGCGGGGCATGACTTTCAAGATGGTTCAAGTTTTCGCTCACGTATCTTCCAAAAGGAAAAGAAGATTTCTAAGAGTGTTTCCTAAGTAATTTATGTCAAGATAAGGGTTACACACAAAAGTGATAAAATGAGAAGTTACCAAAGATAAGAGAAACAAATATAGAGTTTCAAGCTTGGCGTAAAGAAGACGAATTCTTAATGAAAGAAGTTCATCTTTTTTCTTTTTTCTTCTTCTTTAAAACCGGTGATGTACTTTGAATTCTTTTGCGTTTTTCTTTCATTATGATGTGTAAATTCCAATAGCTAGGAAGGATGATGTAATTTAGATTTGAACCTTTAATTTCAATTCTCAAGACTTGTGAAGCTAATAGTTTTATGTATTGATTTTACTTCTTTTCTTATTACTTTGAAATAATTGATCATCATTTCCTTGATTTGTGGATTATATCAAATAGAGAGGTGGGTTATAAATTTAGTGAAGTAGTAAATCCGGAAATTGAATAAAAAGTAGAGAACAAAATTATTGAATCCAAATCTACAGAACTCAAGACTGACTCATTAATTAATATTATCTAATTTTAGTCATTAGTTTTTTGCAATAAATTATGTTAATAAAACCCCAAAAGTCGAATCCTCAATTTAAAGAAAAAAAAGGTCAGGAATCAAATAATTTGATCATTAACGCACCAACCGATGGCAGAAATTCCATATTGCTAACCTTGAAGGGTAGCTCGGTGGTCAGACTTTGTATTTGCTCTCCAACGGTCATCAATTCGAGTCTCTTCAGAGCCATTGAGATGAGTACCCGACTGAAAAAAAAAAAAAAAAAAAAAATGAAATTCCATATTGCTAAAGCTTTATTTTCTTAAAAATAATATCAAATCCATAAGAAGAATATATACCTAATTTTAACTTAAATATTTGTAATGTTTACTTGCATTTTTATTTTTATTTTCGTTTTATTTTATATAATATTGGAGACTAAGTAAGTGATTCATATCTACTAAAACTCAACTGAATATCAAGAAAATCTCATTCGAAACTAAACTTATCCCATCAAATCCTAAACACAACAAGGGCTAGTTATTTGACTTAGTCAAATTTCAATTCATTTTTTTTTCCGTGTTTAATTTCCCATTTGCATCCCACATTGAAATCATATTTAGTTATCTCCACGATCTTCATCCCTTTTTTCTTTAAGGTATATTGTTTTCGATTTTCTTCATAGAAATTTGATGCATGTGCAACCGTTGAATCTCATTTCATCCATATAAATACGTAGAATATCACCTCAAATTGAGATTACTCCGCCTATCTCGTCCACCAATAATTAGTAAAGTATAATATATTGTTGTTGATAGACTTGATTTTGCATTTTTTGCTATTTCGCAGGTTGTATATATCAAGTGCAGATTGGATACGAGAGTGGAAGAGGAAGTAAAATGAAATGGCATCTAGACACGGCCTAGAACGTCCAACTTGGTAAGCACTGCATTCCTCATAGCTTTCCGAACCCGCTTTTAAGTTACTTTTCGCTTTTTGACAGTATGCATACGGCAAAAAAAGCAGCTTTTAAGTTAGGCCAATTAAATTGAGAGATTTCTGAAGTTTTTTCTATTAATCAGGAGACCAAAGTCCAAATTGTCACCAGAAGTCCAGTGTCATATACGTGGAGTACAGTTCACATTGGATGGGGTAAAATTCTCCCTCAAACTACATTTTCCATTCTTATATATATTGGATATGCAGTACTTCTCGTTTTCCAATACTGTGTATTAAAGAAGAATGCGTCGATACGAAACTATATCTTATCTATTATTTTATTTAGTTTTGTCGAGTAAAATATATTGTGACTGCTCTTCCTTCCCCAATATACTTCTTATTTCCTCCCAAATTCACTTATTTTGTCAAACGACTTATCTTATGTACTGCTAGGAACTTGCGGCCACCAAATCAGCAAAACTATCAAAGTTGTTGAAAGAGTACACTCAAAATGATCTCTCCCGTTTATTGGATGACATTCCTGCTGATCCAGAATCATTTGAGCTTGTTGGGAGATTCTACCATGGCTACGATATCAAATTGTCAAATGAAAACGTCGTTCGTGTTGCGTGTATTGCTCATTACCTCGGAATGACCGAAAGTCACTGTCCTAATAATCTTCTAAACAAAGCCCTCAACTTCTTTGAACACCAAATTCTTCCTAATTGGCAAAGTTGCATCAAAGCTCTAATTAGTGCAGAAAATGTTCTTGAACAATCAGTGAATCTTGGCCTAGTTGATGCATGTATGGAAACTATTGTCACAAAGGCGCAGGAAGATCCGCGTTTACTTGGAGAGCCAATCAAGAACTTTTCGTCTGATGACGACGATAGTGATGGAAAGGAAATGGCTATTAAACCAAATGCCAGAAGGAGGCTTTTTGATCTTGAGTGGAAATCTGAGGATTTAATGGTACTCTCATTGAGGTTTTACGAACCTATAATTCGTGAAATGATTCAACGAAAAGTCCCTCTAGAATACGTTGCTGCATCCCTCTATCAGTATGCAAAGAAATGGGTGTTTGAAAAAGAAGAGAATGGTGAGAAAGAGACAGTTGAATCTTTGGAGAGATTGATCCCTCATCAGAAAGGGATGTTTCCTTGCTCATTTCTCTTTGAAATGCTAAAATCTGCAGTATCACTTGATGCTAGCACTGAATGCAAAAATGGATTGGAGATCAGAATCGGAAAGCAATTAGATCAGGCAAATGTAAAAGACCTATTCATACCTACCCAAGGATACACAGAGGACGAACAGCATGATACAGAGAGTATACGAAGAATTTTGAAGAATTTCTACAGTAATTATACCGGTCCGGATGCTTCTGGATTCATCAAAGTGGCAGAATTAGTCGATAATTTCTTGGCAGAGGTTGCTAGTGACATAGATTTGAAGATGAGCACATTTATATCACTTGCTGATATGTCGATAGCAGTATCAGAGGGGACAGATCGAACATTGGATGGACTATACAGAGCTGTTGACATATATCTAGACAAGCATAGACATCTTACAGAATCAGAAAGAGAGAAATTATGCAGGGTTTTGGATTGCAACAAAATGTCAGTCGAAGCTCGTGAACATGCTGCACAGAATGAAAGGTTGCCATTGCGTGTGGTGGTGCAGGTTTTGTTCATAGGGCAGTTGCAACTTCGGGACAACATCACGAAGGAAGTGCAAGGTTCTGATGACCGGCTCTTGAAGCTAGAGGAGGAGGAGGAAGATGAAGAAGAAACGAGGGCGGAAATGGAAAAGATGGGAAGTAAAGTGTTGGAGCTAGAGAGGGAATGCCATATAATGAGGAGAGAGATTCAAAGAGGCAACAGCAATAGGCAGAAACCAAGCTTGTGGAAGAAAATGAAGAGAAAACTAGGGTGCATGACCACCATGCACGATCATAACTGCCATGTCAAGAAGAGAAAGGTGCATCCAAGATGAACGAGTTATCGTTTTTGTCTTTCTTACCACCACGGTCGACTAGTAGTACTGATTTCAATAATGTGCGTCTACGATGACGCTTAAGAATGTCAGCTAGGAACTAATATGTTAATACTGTTTCAAAGCATATGCTTATTCTATCTCTAGGGGTGATCTCCCGTGCCCACGATAGAAAAGAGCTTATTGTGCCAATAGGTGGTATGGCAACAATTGTTGAATTGTCAACAATGACGGTTTGACTTTGTTAATGTTGCATTGGCACATTTTATTTTGTCCTACGTAGCAAGAGAACAATTCTGATTGGACCGTGCTACATAGTCATAGAGGATGACACTTCGATTAACATAGCACACACACATAGGGAGGTTGGGATTATTTTATTTATGGGGACCCACAACTCGGTTGTGAGTGTTATGCCACCCACTGTGTCAAAGCCTATGTTCGTTTGACTTAATTCATTCTGATTTATCTCAACTTAGCCCTTCTTTGAGCCCTTTTTTTGGAG